TGAATTGAGAAACTCAAGTTGCACATTGGAAGAGAAGTTGAAAATTGAGACTGGCTTCACTTTAAGGCAGGTTATAGAGAAGTCTATATACAACGAAAAATATCTCTCTATCTCCTTAGTGCCTTACTCTTTGGATTGTGCTAATATCTAATTGTCTGTCAGAAAAGCAGGTTTTCCTTTCAGATTCCTTAAAAAATCGTTTGCAAATGCACTAAGCAGAAGGAGAGCTATGAGCTATAACTTTCTCGATATACATCTCTATATCCTGCTTCAAAGTGAAGATAGTCCCGATGTGCACCTTCAGCAATCGAAAATAAAGTGGTTTTTACCATAATAAACCTACAATGTCCACTTAATATCATCCAAACTGCAATTTGGACCCCCTTTTAGCAGCATCTTGAAATATTCTCTTCATCTGTCTACTATACATTCGTTTAGTCATATAATGGATACTGGTACTTTTTATCTTTTCCGAGGTTTTGGCACTTCCTTTCTCGTTCGCTTAATGTATTTTTCCAGTTTTTGGGTTCAATTTCGCCTTTTTCATCATTTCAAGACCAAATTCAAACAATCAGTTCTGGCTTATAGAAGAACTTATAGCGTCACCGTTTCTGTCTTTCTTTGTGCAGAGAGAATAATTCATTCAATAATAAAATTTCCTATTTATTTATGATATAGTCCAACTTCCGCACAAAATAAAGGAAATAAAAATTAATTTTTTAATTAGTGATATATGAGTTTTACTATACAACCCAGCAGCTATTCATTATATATAGTTCAGATTAGGTATATATTATTTTAGTTTATAAAACAGGTATTAATACGACTCATTTCCTGGGAAGTATATATAAATTTTAATTACCTTTAAGAATCAGTAAATTTACAAAACACAATGTTAAATTGCAAACGTTAAATAAAAAAAAAATCAAGATATTTAGCAAAGCTTTTTAATTAAGTTTTATTATTATAATTATATCATTTTTACAATCAAGGTCTTCTTAAACGACCTACGTGTAGAATAAAGAAGGTTAAATAAAAAAAAATAAATAAATGTTTTAAAAAAATTTTAATTTTTTTTTTTTTTACAATTAAATTATTGCATTAATATTTGTTCGTTAATAAAACCAATATAATGTACCAAAAATGTTATTATATCACTTTAACTAAGCCATTTATGTGTACTGAATGGTGTGGTAGAGGCCTGTAGGCACCCACGCCAGTACCGCTTTTCTGCCGCATAAGTGCATTTTCTACGGAACTGTTCAAAAGTTTTTAAAAAATAATCAGCGTTTTGGAAAGAAAAATATATTCTCCAGATGGTTTATTTCAGCACGTTTTGCGTTATTGTAGGCCGTTTAATTACAAATGACGCTTGATTTTTAACTTGAAAATTTTTTTTTTAATAAAATTGACTTTAGTAGTGTTTTTCATAGCCTAAGCCAATTATTTTTTAATATTTCTTCATGGTTTATTATTCTATGACTATTCAGCTTTAATAAAAGACCAACTATGAGGAAATTAAGCCAAATGCTGATTCGCAGTGACCAAAAAACTAACTAAAGTCAAAGTCGTCAATCCGCCATCTTTGGACGCCATTTTGGGGCAGTGCGTTCACTTTTTTTTGTGGGAACATTGGCTTTTTTTTAATAAATTGTTACAAGGAACACAACGATATGCAATTTATAGGGATGTGGGGGGGGTGCACGGTAAGGGGGTCTGGCCCACAGTGTAAGTACCCTACCACTGAGCTACCCCAATCTCTATTTATTGCACATAGAGTATCAATATGCTCTTTGAACGATCTAAAAAAAAACAGCTTAGACTAACAATGTTGTATGTGCAAATTCTAGAAATTGTGAACTCAATTTTTCATTCGTCGATGACTTAATTGTGTCACTTATTTAATATAATTTTGAATATCGAAACATTGTGGTTGAAACTCTGTCATTCCAAAATGCATTTTCGTGACAAAGTTTCAAGTGCAGATATCAGCACTCTAAAATTTGATTTAACGTTTCATGGAGGATACGGAGCATTGAAAAGTCAAATTAAAAAAAAAAGTTCATATTTGTTTTTTTTTTTCTTTTACAAATTGATTTATTAAATTATTTTATCCTCTTAAATAAACATTTAAGTTAAATGAAATAAACATTAATTACTTCAGAAGCAATGCTCTACTCTTAAATCATTTCCCATGCAATTATAATATTAGAAAAAAGACATAAACATGTTTTTTAAAGAAATAACATTAGAGTAAAATTTAAAAAAATTATATATTTCTGATCATCTAATGATATTGTCGGCACCGTGTTAAAGTAACCAATGTGATATGTTATTCCGATTCAAATATGTAATTCGCTAAGAACATATCTTTAAAATAATTATAAATGAAGTACTACATACCGCATTGCAGTTACAACCTTTTCAAACCAATTACTTTAGAAAGATGTGAGTAGTTATAAGTTATATAACTTATAACCATGTCACAATGCAACTTTCTTCATTTTTCAACTGATGACACCAAAAATTCGTTAGGAACACAGGTAGGTAACATTGTTGTATGTGATTTCTGAGTGAAAACTCAATTTGCCCAAATTTGTTGGAACCTTTACAAACCAAGACCACGAAACGCTCAACACAACTAATTTTTGTTTTCAAAATAAGTATTAATAAAAAAATACAAAACAATAACCATACCTTGATACCTATTACATCGCAAACAATTCAAAGTATCGTGACAGAATATTTATAACATTTTTTCGAACTGTAAAATGTGCCGAAGTAATATATTTCGCTTAGACCACAGACCGCTGAACCTAATAACTTTAAGCGACCAGACAGAAAATGGCCGCGTATGGTTCCCCATCGGTTTTATTTCTTATGTAATTAATTCAAAATGAAATACTCGACTAAACAAAGAAAACAAAACCTATAAAACATATCTAAATCGATATAAAAATACACTTAAAAATTATTTTAAATGTTTCTTTAACAAACAAAAAATCAAAATTAAAATAAAAATATTTCATTTATTTCTAACTGTTGAACTGGACGCATGATGTTCAACGCTTTTGTTTAAAAAAATAATAATAATAAAATCAAATTAATAATATATAAAAGATACTTAAAGGAGGGAAACTGTAATTACAAGAAAAAATATGCTTTTAGAGACACATTTCTTATATTTTTTTATGGTGCATGCTTACATTCATAGGAATAAATCAATTTAAAATATAAGAAAAGTCGATTAGATGGCTAAGCTAGGGTATAGGAGTAGTTACGCAAGTATTCTATCACAGCGTATTATTGAAATTTAAGTTTATATTCATGGATAATTATATGTAGCAATTTATCCTAGGATTTTATGATTTATTCATTTATACCCTTACATTTTTACGTGAAGATTTTATCATATTCCCTACAGCGAATTTGAAGCATCGGAGAATTGAAAGTTCATCTCACTGCTTCAAACCTTCAAATAAAAAAATATATATGTAATATATTCAATTGCTTTAGTAACATATTTTCTAATGCACCCATATGCCAAAAAAAAAAAAAAAAAAAAAGAAACTAATATTTAAATTTATTTTATTCTTTTATTTTATTTGTATTTGTCTCTACCCTAGAGGGTCATTGGCAGTGATACTTAATTTTTATATTCTGTTGTAATATTTTGTTTCAATTAAATATTGGGAGAGAATGACGACATCTTCTTCCCTGTTTCCCAAAATATCCTTCAATGTCGTGGAAAACTTTAATTTTGGGCTTTTTTTTCGTATTGTGGAGACTCTAATAATAAGTGTTTTACTGTCTGAGGTGTGTTGTCACATTTTTGGCACGTGGGCGATTCCAGACCTCTGAGAAGGTACCCGTGTGATTATTATTATTGATTATTTTAATTATCACTCATAATGTTTATAATAATCTAAACTCCCAAAAAGTTTTTGAGAGGGAGTGAAAGGAGTCATCGCCCCCACCAATAAGAATGGAAAGTCTGTGCCTTATTTACATTATAATTTAAAAAGAGGATTAAAAAGATATAGTGTTGTCAAGCTTAGATCACTTAAATAAAAGAATATAGACTTATACAAAAAATAATATTTTTCCTTCCGTATTTTTTAATTCATTTATCTGTCCAACGTTTCCAGCAATGTGATGATGAAAATTGGCCAAGTGATGTATCAAATTGTTAAATAGAATATAGATAGAAAGACATGCATTAGAAGAATAGGAGATGAAGGAAAAATATTAAAAAGTGAAAAGAATGTCTCTGAAGATGGGCAAAGAGTCCTAAAAGTTAGACAGATAAATAAATTAACAAATACGGAAGAGAAAAACTTGCATACTTTATACCTAAAATAACACAAAACTCTTTCTTAAGTAAATTATTAACCATCAAATAATATAAGGAAATATTATTTTTCCATTTCATAGTTTCATCCAGAAAGCCCCACCTCATCTCGGTAAATTCTTCAGTGCTACATGGTAGAAAAAATATATGAATAATAAATAAATATATTTTTGTATAATAAAATTCCTCTCTCTGGCCACAGATGCAAAGTACGCATACAGTGTGCGTAGCCCTTCTACCTTAAAATGCCCTAGGGCAATAAAAAGAAATTAGAAATGTTTTATATATATATTTCTTTATGTATTTATATATTGTATTTTGTACAGTAAATAAATTCCTGGGGGGTAAAAAAAATAAAATAAAATAAATATATTTTGATCTGCATGTTATACCTATTAATTTTGAATCATAAATGATATAATAAAATGTATTTTATATAGTATTATTAACATAATTGATATATTTATCAAAAATTTATCAATAAATAAACTCTCTACGGCTAAGCGGAAATTCTTGATAGAGTATGCGGATATTTCCCAGGTGAGGAAAAGCTTTAGAGAAATAAGGTACAATAAACAAACGGGCATGAGGGGATGGGAGAGAACTGTGGTGGGGAGCTGGAGGAACGTCCAAGACATCAGTTTACCGGCAGCACTCCAAGAGGAACGTCCACCATGAGTCTCTTAACCATGTACGTACTTTTCGTCTAGTATATAGCCATATAGTATATATATGTATATATATCTACTAGCACTGTAGTAACTTAGTAGTCATAGTAATATTTTACTAGTCTCAATGTAATATAGCATTCTTACATTCCATTAATTCAGTAAAAGAAACTTTTTTTAAAAAACTGTTGATTTCTATATCATTCTACGTCGACATAGGTGTTGAAAAATTTAAAGTTAATAGACTTACTATAGTGCTATAGATATAGTATTTACAATAAAATTTAACTATTATATTATTCATAGATTTTTTGTGTATAAGTCAAAAAACATTATAAAATATACTATGCCATATATTATATTAAATTATAAAATATAGGACACTTATAGAGACTTTGAAGTTTTAATAATATAGATAGTTATGAATTTAAAGACTGTTAGCTTAGACATTCCTAGTAATAACCAGGACTTAAATTTAAATTTTATTTTTGTTTAGTTTCGGTAAGATTGGAATCATTATTTATTTTTCTGTTAATTCGAAACTAGAACTTTTTCTCTCGCTACTTTTTGCTACAGGTTTTACAGAAGTTTTATTTAAGAATTCTGTTTATTTCACCAAATAACCGATTAAAAGAATTACATTTATTCTTAGCTACTCAAACAAACGACTAATTAATATCCAGTAATTCATTTAAGGTAAATTACCATTCTAATTAATGCTCAGTTACAATTCATTTCTCAATTAAAAGAACTTTTTTTTAAGAAATTAAATAAATAAAAGTTAAACTCTTAACAGAAATTGGAACTTTTTTTTAAAAAAGTTCCATAGAACTTTTATTTAATTTTTTTTAAATAAGTTTCTGCATGATTGTAATAATTTTCTTTTTCTCTTATTTCGAAAATAGAAATATTTCCCTAGCTACTTTTTGCCAGAGGTTTTACAGAAGTTTTATTTAAAAGTTCGTGTGATTTCGCCAAATCGCCGATCAAAAAAATTATTCTTAACTACTTAAACAAACGACAAATTAATATCTAGTAACTCATTTGAGATAAATTATCGTTCGAATTTATTCTCAACTACAGTTAGTATATTTTTCTCAATTTTTTTTTTTTTTAAGAACTTGAATAAATAAAATGTAAAGTTTTACCACAAACTAGAACTTTTTTTTACATAAAAGTTCCTTACAACTTTTATTTAAAGAATATTTTTCCTAATAAGTTTTATGGAAACTGTTATAATCGAAAAAAGTTTCAACCCCTGCTCTTACATATAAGATGACTTATACGTAAAAATATTTAAAAAAATATATATTTTAGGGTTTAAGTTTGACATTCGTAGTGATAACATTCGCTTGAGAATGTTGTAACTATGTATTAACTATTTGTTGTATGAAAGGGTTCGTATCATTTTAGAGTACTTACTATATATATATTTTTTTTTTTTTTTTTTTATAAATATCAATAAATTAGGTCGAAATTCTCAAAAACTTATTTAAGAGTTCACCTCCATCAAACACGATAACTTTTACCATTTCATTAGTGACTGTTAGCAATAAACCGACGATTTGTTTTACAATTTGTATTTATTTTATAAAATATCTGCCGGTTCAATTATGTTATGAGAAACTCCAACAGGCAACACGGGATTGATGGTCAAGGGAAAAGAAACCGGTCAAAGAAAACACGATTTATTCTATTTTACTTTTATTATTCAATTGTTTTAAAGGCTACGGTTTAGTATGGAATTTATTTTTCAGGTCTATTTCAGGGCTATAAACAGAAACAATAATTAAAAAAATACTCCAAGAGTATGAAAATAAATATGAATATAGAGATTAACAGAATAAGTAAAAAAGTTAAAAGTTAATATCGTTTTTATACTTTAAAAATAGATTTCTCTCCTTATAATCGTTCTCTTTGTAGCCCTGATGAAGTTATATGGGTCGAAACTTCGGTTTTGAATAACTTCTAACTTTATATTGACCACCAACCGGACTACTTTGCTTTTTAATAATATTGGCTAAAGGAAATTTGAGTGTTCTGTATTTTAATTGTATTATTAAATTTATTATACAGTATCATATTAATTATACTATATTGTATATATTTAGTTTGATAGTTTTTAAGAAGTGGTATATTCTGAATCAATGGAATGAAATGAAAAGTTAACTTTTGTTTTTAATCTGTTTCGATATGACTTGAATTTCTATTTTCTATGTTTTTATTTTTTCTGTTCTTTTGGGAGTTTTCTCCATAGAAATATTTTAATAAATAACTATATAGAACTTTTATTTAAAAGTTCTGTTAATTTTCTAGTATATCCTTAGCTGTAAAAGCAAAACAAATATAAGAATCAAACTGATGAATTATAATCTATAATCTAAACCCACATACAATTTATAGCTTGCTTAATTTAACTTTCTGAAATAACATGAATAATTCAAAGTTAAACTTTTATAATAAATCTTAAACGTTATTGCAAACAAGCCCCCTAAAATTTCAAAACTTTTTTATTTTCATAAATGTTGTTTCGAAACTGATTAAATGTAAATTTTTAATAAGTTACACGTACGCTTGTCCGAGTATAGTCTGACTGTGTCTCAACGTTGTAGAAGTAGATCTGCGTAACCCACTTGTTGAGTTAAAAATTATTTTCAATTTTTTAAAACTAAATTAATTTATTTTGATTAATTTGACTGTGAAAATTATTTTTTGTTTACTTATATGCCAGCGTTATACAAACTAGAATGCCGAATTATAATGTATTTTTCCCGATATAAACGTCGAAATTAATCGAAAATATAAATTATAATCTTCAAAATCTAAGTTATATTAAGAAAATGATACTTATTTAGAAGTGAAGTAAATAATATTAAATTATGTTTAAAAAGTAAGATCTGGAACTGCAAAATGTCGCTTTGAAAAAAATTAATGATTTTTAATTGTTTTACGAATGGCACATTGAAAACAATATTAAAATGTTAATCTTAAAAAATACTAATCGTTTTATTATAAACATTTTATAAGAATGCAGCTTTATTGTCTTCAGAGGCAATCCTAAAATAATAATTTGTAAATATAGTAAAATTAAATATATAAAACATCTACCAGCAGTTAGAAAATACATATATAACAAATATAAAAAGTAATAACAAAAATGAAAAAAAAATCATTATTGCACGTAGATAATTCACATTTAAGAAAAAATAAAATTTAAAAATCCATTTTACAAATTAACTCAAATATCTATTTCAAATAATTCATTTTATAGCATTTACTACTTAGCTGCTTCTTCGTCAGGCTTCTAAGCACAAAAATTCAGTTTCAGATAAAAGTATACATATCATGTTAGAACTTAAGAATTACAGGAAGCAAATTTCCGGGGGACCCGATTAAAATATAATTGTGTTTTATGTTAAACAATGCCCTCTGGTTCATTTATTATAATATAGCAATAAGTTTCGTTTCCATAAAAAAAAAAATCATATTACATTTTGTTCGTAAATGCATGAATATCCTATTTCAATATTTTATCAAAATGAGAATTAATAATTTTACATAACCTTAATAATAGATTAATTGACACGAAATTGAACAACCCATTAAACGCTATATGAAAATAAAAATCCTATTTAAGAGAAAACTAGATTAATTTCATTATGTTTGAACTGTCCGGTCTTTGTTGAAAATCTTTTAACATCTTCGATGACAACTGTCTCAAGAATCTTGATGGTTCGCTGATACATGGCAGTCACGAGTGGATCTAGGATTTATTTTTTTATTTTTTTGGGGGGCGGCTTCAGTCCAAAACTGTTTATATATATATATATATATATATATATATATATAACGATAATTACTTTGGAGGAAACAGAAAGAAAGTAACGACCTATATGAAAAGGTTTTAAATGATTCTTGAAGTCTTGTTAAATTAAATTATACAAACATATAATCATATTTATATAGATAATTTTAAGATTTTTCTTTTTTTTTTTTTTTTTTTTATAAGAAAATTTTATCATTTTGAAATATGGAGGGCTTCAGCCCGTAGGCCACTTCTCCCCGTAGATCCGCCTATGACAACAGTGGTACTTAACTATACATAGTTTGTATACATATTATCAAAACATATTTTTATAATTAATACAATTGAAGAAGGCACTAACTATATAATTTTATATGTTAATTTGTAGTAAGTCTTGCGCAGATGAAGACTTTAAAGTAGACCCAAAACATCAACACATACAATTTTTTTTTCTTCATTTTACTGACCGCATCCCAGCCAACTCCTGTTATAAGTATTTTTTGTTTTGTAATATGGTTATTATATTATGGTTTAATAACTATATTATTTCAAATGTAATTTTATCACGTTTAAAATCATCTTTATATATTTTTACCGATTTTTTTAATTTTTCCACCTTCTTAACTCTATGGTACCACTGATACCTATACTAAATGCTAAATTATACATCTTAATAATAATTATGAACATACTAATTGATAGTAAGAAAATGATATAACGAAAAATCTACACACGCACTCTACGCATTTAATGAATGAACTAACCTTCAGCCGAAATCCTTGACCGTGAGTTGTCACGTTGAGTTCTAATTAAGTTCTTGTCTATATTTATCTGACATATTTTATTTTGTTTAAAAAAAAATTTAGATTATTTTTTAAATATTATTTAATTGAATCAATTTAAATCATAAACTTATATTTATATCTTAATCGTAGTATCATCTATATCTATATATATAAATAACCTGCCGAAATACTATCACGTGAATTTCAACGCAAAAAGACCCGTTGAATAAAAGGCGACAATTAGTTACGAAATTAATTAGGCGTGTCCGGAGATGAATATCATAAGGTTAAAAGTCACTGAGTTAAATTTTATAATAGATTTGTTTTGCACATTCTCAGCGATATCTTAACACTGTAAGGAATCTTTTAAATTTTAGACTATTCATCAATAAAAAGTATTAAAAAAAAAACCTCAATAGAAGTCAATCCGATA